TATGGGACTCTCTCTCTATCTCTCTCTCCACACACCAAATAAAACCTTGCAGGTTGTTGAATCACTTGGGCACATAGTTCTTGGGTTAATAAAGGTGGAGGTTGAAGGTGATCATGTACACCCTTTCTTTGGGGTTTCTCCGGTGGCTCTGCACTTAGCCACCGTCTCCTCTGCTTTCAAAAGAGCTTCTCCTCTTTTGGATTTCGTCATCGCCCTTTTCTCCTTTGCTTTTTTTATGAAGAAGAGCTATCTGGTTCTTCATCTTCTCAATATACTAAGACTTTTTCTTCTCCAAATTCTCCTGCAAAACATTATTTTTCAGTTAAATGATTTTTCTTTCAACATATTTCATGATCGATGATGGATGATATGATGTAAATGTTACCTTAATCTTCTTCTGTTCAGCTTCTAATTCTGCTTTCTTGCTGTTCTCCCATGCTACAATCGAAGATGCTTATTTGAGCTCTGTTCAAGATCACAAGTTGAATATTTTTTGCTGTTCTCCCATGCTAGAATTACCATATTCCGTAAACAAATTATAAAATACGTTGGCTTAATTCTATACGTATAGAGTCAATTAGATACTTGTGTAGTTGTGTATGCAACTATGCATGCATATGTTTTTACAGAACTGGTTTTTAAATAAAAATATTAAAATGTTTTGGTATGGGTAGTGGGAACTGGATATTTGTGGAACGCCATCATCTTATTTAAGGGCCTACAAAGGTACTTCTTGACAAATTGGATCATGATATGATGATAACATGCGATAATTTTTTCTTTTTTCTTTTTCGTTTTTCAACCCTATTATTAATAAGGTAATCTTTATATTAGATAGATATATTCTTTAGTTGATTCTGAATACATAATATATTGAATTTTAAAATGTGTTTTTAAAGCTGGCTACTTAACACAATTAACCCCTTAACCTCAAATTCTTTAAATTTGGCCATCCAATTTGTCTAGTAATTAGTCAATTCTCAGCTTACCAACTTAACCTTAACTAATAAATTTTCTAACCAAATGGTCCATAAATGCCAGTTCGGTTAATTCATGATCAACTACAACATTTTCCGTAAATTGCCAAGTATATTTTCTAAAAATTTGACTTGAAATATGAGATTAGCTTATTTAACCGGATAAATTTATTCTTACTATGACTATTTTACCATTGTTCTTTATTTATTTTACTTATAATTTTAATTATTTAATTAGTTTATTTAACTATATTTTTATAAATTTTAATTGTACTGAAAAGCTAAAAATTATAGCCTCAAAATGTGGGTGTTACGTAAACCCTACTTGAAAATAGTGTTCCTAATTCCTAAGTTTAAAGAGTTAATGAAATCACCTAATCGATATAAGATCCATGTGAAGTAAGTAAGATAGTAAGTCTTTTGCCAAAAAAGAGTTTGAGTTAAGGCTCTTAACCATTTTTGAGGACATCTTAACATAGATGTTGTAAAACTATGTTTATATGATCTAGAGGTTGTATAGTCTAAAATAAAGTTTAATGTTTTATCAATATTTTAGAGGGTCATTAAAAAGGTTTAGTGTTGTCTCAAATGAAGATTATTGGAGACAATCTTTCTGTACCTTTATTATAATTAGTTTTGATCTAGAATGATCAATCTTATTTCTGCTCAAAACATGATAATTTAATAATAATAACAATAATCTGATTTATTATTTGCATCGATTCAACACTTAATTAATGTTAAATATCTATTTTTTTGAACTGGCAAAATTGATATATATTAATGAGAATAGCCCCACTAGCAAGAAGCTAGTAGAGAATTGTTTTACATAAAATCAGCAAAATAAAGGAGAAAATTTCCATACTCTCCAATCTAAACTAACATTGACTTAACATCAACGACAATCCTCTCCGCCTTCATGACAACTTTTTTAAAAATCCTCTCATTCCGGGCTATCCATAAACACCATATGGTTCCATATAAGATTGTGATTAATTTACATCTCTTCTTTGGACAATTGCCCCATGTAGATGCAAACTTAATGATGTCCAGAACTGAGTGAAAATCCGTCTTCGGTAGTCCACATCAGTGAAAAATCAACCGAAAACTTCCCTTGCCAATGAACATGTTGCAAGGATATGATCACCTGTTTCTTCTGCCAGATTGCAAGCACCACAAACAGTTGACTCCAATGAAACACCTCTAGTTTTAAGTGCTTCAGCAGAAGGAATTCGATTTTGTTTTGCTCTCCAGATAAAGCCCAAGACTTTTAATGGAATCGACTTAATCCACGGGAAGATCCCATCACGTAGCGGAAAAGATGCTCTTTCAATCCTATCTCGAAGGGCTGCCACACAAAACTATCCATCACTAACAAAGGGAGAGACCCAGGTACCACTAGACTTTTCATAATGCATTACGTTCCCGAAAGGAATATTTATTTGTTCTAACTTTTTTATGCTTTTTGCGATATTATGCCACACACTGCTCCAAGGATTTTTTGCTCCAAACCTGTTATTTACACCCACCAATTTATGCAGTCCATTGATGATTTGGACCCAAAAAGAGTTTGGTTCGTTTTTCAGCCTCCATAACCACTTAGTTAATAATGCCAAATTTAGAGAGCGGATAGAACCAATACCCAAACCACCAACCGCTCTTGGGGCTGTAATTTTTCTCCCAAGCCACCCATTTGATTTTATTTTTGCAAGCAGGACCACCCCAAATGAATTGTATACAAACTTTCTCTATTGATCTTATAACTCCATTCGGGGCCCCAAAAATGGATATGAAGAATGTGGGTAGACTCCCCAATACCGATTTGGCAAGGGTAAGTCTTCCACCGAAACTGAGGGTTTTTGCCTTCCAAGTTGAAAGTTTAGACTTCAATTTGTCTAATATTGTGTTCCATGAGGCTTGTCGATTTATGTTTAGACCAACCGGGACGCCAAGGTAGGTGAATGGTAGTGTTGCCGGTTCACACCCAATAGGAGATGCCCAATTAGTAACATCCTAGGATGGTACTTCTATCCCATAAACCTTGGATTTAGAGAAATTCACCTTTAAACCAGAAGAAATATAAAAGCACCTAAGTATTCTGGCAAGGTTTGCAACATTTTGTGCGTGTCCAATCTCCTAAAAATAAAGCATCATCTGCGTACAAGAGGTGGGATAAACATACATTTGTGTTAGGGATATGGACACCATAAAAAATACCTTTAGCTGTTGTAGATTTCATTACAACGTTTAGTCCCTCCACTGCAATGATAAACAAGAAGGGAGATAAAGGGTCTCTGTGTCTCTCTCCCTTTGTCATTGAGAATTCAGCAGTGGGACTTCCGTTAATGAGGATAGAGGCCCTAGCCGATTCAAGACAATCACGAATCCACGACCTCCATTTACGCCCAAAGTTCATTTGGGCCATTATGGAATCAATGTATCCCCAGTTGATTGAATTGAAAGCTTTGTTAAAATCTGCCTTAAATAACAAGATTTTCCTGCCATTTGACTTAGCCCAAGAGCAAACTTCATTTACAATTAGGGGCCCCTCTAAAATGTTTCTCCCTTCCACAAAGGCAGACTGGACTTCATCAACCACACTTTCAATCACCTTTTTAATGCGCAGGGCAAAAAAATTTGCGATGATCTTATACATCGAACCAATCAGGCTGATTGGTCGATAATCGTCAAGGCAAAGCGGGTCTTTTCTTTTGGCTGCCAACGTGATGAAAGAGGCATTGCATCCATTTGAGAAGTTACCTCATCTTTCAAAATGTTTAACCGAAGCTGATACATCACCTTTAATGAGCTCCCAATATTTCTTGAAAATTTTCATGGTGAACCCGTCCGGACCTGGGGCCGTTCTCATTTCCACAAGACCAAATGGCATTTTTAATTTCACTCATTTGATTTTAATATTGCCTACAGTTTTATATTACGTCACAATACTAATTATCTTAATTATTTGATTGTTTTGATTGCCAAATCCGAAATACAACATTATTTTCTATTATTGTCTATTGAATGTAATAAATATACACACACGAAACAACTTCAAAAATGTGGTCATTTAACTCAAATCTGACTCAATGTAAAATTCCATACCGGAATAATAAAGAGTGAACATCAAAACCTTTCTTATTCAAGTTGTTTCAAATAGGTAAACAATCTAAATAAAGTATCCAATCATTAATATTAACTTTGATTGTCACGACTTAGTACTTACATATATAAATAGAAATTTTTGTTATTTATAATTTTCTATTACCTCCATATATAAATCTTTTTTTGGTACGTCAAGTATCTAATTATTTTATCAGTTCCACATGCTTTTCTGGGTAAAAAGAGATAAAAGCGATAGAATTGCATGATGAAAGAAAGAGAAGAAACATGTGGTTAAGGGTGAGAAGAAAGTGGTCTACCACTTTGGTCACCATCGCACACGTCAGCTTTTTCATTCTATTATGGATTGAAAACACTTCCTTCAACTTTGTATATCATCCAATTGTTTTTCTTTTGATATTTATATTTTTTACTGAAATATGAATCAGGTCAAAACTATTGAGATATTTCTTTTTTTGTTAGTAATAAATTGACATGCAAATACTATATAGACAAAATTACATTGTGATTTGTAAAAATATATTGATTCGATGCGACTATAAAAAATGCTACGTAGCACTGAGTTCTTGTGGTTTCAAACTTTCATTTTAACTACATTATCATCATATTTTGCCTATTTGACTTTTAAAACTAATACAACAATTTAAAATGTTTTTTAGTGAAATTATTGAAATCTGATAAGGATTTTTATTAGATCAAACTCAAAACTTAGTCGATTGAAATGAAATTATAAATAAAAATGGTTTTAGATGAAGGAAAACATAAGACTCTCAAAGCTATTATGTAAATATATACATGAAAATTGATGAACAATGTTTTTATGTATAATGACAGGATTACCCCCCAAAAACTAATATTAATACATACAAATACAAAACGGCATTCAGCCGAAAAAGACCATCACTGTTTCCCTTGTTCGCCGTCTTCTTTAATGGTCATCTCCACTTCTGGAACCGTGCTAAAGTGAGCATCACCGGCGGCAATGGCGGAACCCGAATCAATCCCTGCCCCCGCCTGAATATCCTTAAACATCGCCATCACCTGAATCATCGTCGGCCGCTTCCATGGCCGGTCATCCAGGCAAGCCACCGCCACCTTAAGGTGCTGCAATAACTCAATCTCCAACCCTGGATCTTCCTTCAACAAGTCCCGATCAAAAACATCACTTATCTTCGTCTTTGCATGCTGTTTCACCCACCCAACAAGATTATTATCACCAAAATCCGGCGAATCTGTTGGTTGTTTTCCGGTCAAAAGCTCCAGAAGCACCACCCCGTAACTGTAAACATCCCCTTTTGTTGAACATCTAAAGCTCTGGTAATACTCCGGCGGGACATACCCTGGTGTTCCTGCTAACGTGCTCACACTCAAATGCGTGTCCATGGCACTCATATGTCTCGCCATTCCAAAATCCGACACCCGGGCTTCCAGATTTTCATCGAGTAAAACATTGCTCGATTTCATGTCACGGTGGATTATATGAGGGATGCAGTTATGGTGGAGGAAAGCTAGCCCTCGGGCTGATCCGATTGCGATTTTTCGTCTTGTATTCCAGTTTAATTTCAATCCTGTTTTCTTCCGATCGTGTAACACATCTTCTAAGCTTCCGAATTTCATGTATTCATACACCAGTAACCTTTCGTCTCCGACTTTACAGTAACCCAACAATGGGACGAGATTCCGGTGTTTTATTTTTCCGATTGTTTCCATTTCCGCCATGAATTCTCGATCACCTTGCCCGCTGACGTGGATTAGCTTCTTTATTGCAACGATGGAGTTATCCTTTAATTGGGCCCGGTAAACGTCACCGAATCCGCCGGACCCGATCATACTGTTGTTGTCGAACCCGTTTGTGGCTTCTAAAAGATCGGCGAATGTGAGTTTTCTCAAGGGTTTTTCGAAGGCGGCGAGGCTTATGCTTAGAGCTTCGCGGGTGCTGGTTAGTTTCCATGCAGTGCTTGTGTGGGCGGCGCCGCCGCCGGAATACGAATTGCCGTTGTCGGCGTATGCTTCTAGGGCTGCGGCCGCCTTCTTCCGTTTTCTTTTTCGCATTTCTACTAAGATTATGATGACTCCAAAGATACAGAACAACGAGAAGAGTAACCCCATGGCGACACTTCCGGCGAGGGAAGCTTCCCGTCTGTTGGACTTCGAACGAGAGTTTGATTTACCGTTTGGATCATGTTTACATAGAGGTAGTGGGTATCCGCAGAGACCGGAGTTATTTGAGAACTTGTCCGGTGAAAACGTGTCAAATGGAGCAGATTCCGGGATGCTTCCTGATAAATTATTGTAGGATAGATCGGCATCACCAAGACCGAGGGTGGTCAACGAATTTGGGATTGATCCGTTGAGTCTGTTGTGTGATAAATCAAGAATCGCTATCGTCTTTAAGCCGCTAAGTTCATCGGGAATCGGACCTGTAAGATCGTTATGCCCCAAATTCAGTATGAAGAGATAATACATTAATCCAAGCTCCTTTGGGATTCCACCCTCCAATTTATTATACGAAAGATCAAAGAAGATCATTGATCCGTTATGGTTGAAGTTTGGCTCAGTGATCCCTAAGTACAATCTCGTGAAGTTACAGGGATGTCTCGACGAAATCCTGTCTAAATCCTCTCGACGGATTCCTCCAAACTCCAGTAAATTTCCGGCGCCGTGACACTGCTTGCTCCCGTCGTTCTTGATGTATATAAATGGCTTCCCGGTAAGATATGCAGCAGCGATGTATCCAGATTGCTTGAAGAGAGCAGGTGGGATAGTGCCAGTTAACTGATTGGTGTTGAGATCTAACCATACTAAGCTTTTACAATCCCCAAGCTCCGGCGGAATGTTCCCGGAAAATGAGTTGTTCCCGAGTTTAAGAATGGCAAGGTTGGATAACTGACCAAGGGCTGCCGGAATTTCGCCGCCTAATCTGTTGTTGGAAAGGGAAATCCAATTCAAATTGGTGCAGTTGCTTAAACTAGCTGGGATTGATCCGGTTAAATAATTGAAATCGAGGATCAAATTCTCGAGAGTTTGAATGTACGTAAGCTCTTCAGGGATTTCACCGGAGAGCAGGTTCATCCATATCATCAAATCCTGAAGTTTTGACAAATATCTAAAACTCGACGGGATCACTCCGGTTAACGAATTGAAACTGAGATCAAGTGACACCAACTGTGAACAGTTGCTAAGAGATGAAGGGATAGTACCAGTGAGCAAGTTGTTCTGAAGATACAATACCTTCAACGAAGAACTCTGACAGAGTCCCGCCGGGATTTCACCGGTTAACTTGTTGGAACTCACATCAAACTTCTCCAGATTGATCAGCTCCGACAAGGATTCAGGCAACTCGCCGACGAAATTATTGAACGCCAACATCAAAGTCTTCAAGCTGCTCAAATTCACAAGCGTATCCATCGGAAACACGCCGGAGAAATTATTCCGGGAGATGTCAAACAGTTGAAGAGAAGAACATGCTTTCAAGCTCTCGGGAATGGTGCCGGATATGTTGTTACCGGAAACATTAAACTCTAGAAGCTCACCACATCCGTCTGATAGTATCCACGGCAAAACTTCCGACCCAGAAATCCGGTTGAACGATAGATCAATAACTTGCAGAGAAAGCCCAATAGGCTTCGAAACACCGGTAAACTCCATCGAGTTTCTCGACAAATTGAGGGACTTGAGCTTCTGACAACCCGACAACGATGAAACGTCAGAAACAGAACCGGTGATCCGGTTTACACCCAGATCTACAGAGCTAAGCAGCTTACTACACTGAGATCTCGACCCCCATGAAAGTGTACCAGTGAGGTTACAGTTCTTAGCTACAAACGACTCAAGACTCGGAAGAGTCAACAAGCTGGAAGAAACCACACCGAAATCTACGCTCAAATCAATATTGCTCAGATCTATGGATGAAACAGTCGAGTTTTTACAAGAAACACCGGTGAAAGTACATGGGTTGTTTCCTTTGAGCCAGTCGGGTAAACGACTCGGGTTTTGAAGAGTAGATTTGAAGAGCAATAGCTGCTCAGCTTCACCCACATCGCCATTGACATAAGCGAGACAACGAAGCAAAGCAAGAAAGACAAGAAATCGGTTAAAGCTATAAGGTTTCATGATGGTATAGGAAATGGAAGATGATGTTATCTTAGCTTTTTCAGGAGATTATCAATAACTGATTAGCTTTCATCATTCCAGTTGGGGAATGTAGAGAGAGAAAGTGAGATTGGGTTTTGGAGAGAGATGGAGAGGGAGAGAGAGTATATTTGGGATGGAGAGAGAGGTGTGGATACAGCTGTTTGGTCACATGGCATGTGACCCATCTTCACTGTTAGTTTACCTGGAGATAGATGCAAGGGGAAGAGAAAGAAGAGAGAGAGAGGTAGAGAGAGAAAGAGATAATGGATTTTTCTTAGTATTCAATTCTCTCTCCTTTCTCTTAAAAGGAGTGTGTTTGTCTCTTCTTTTTTCTGTCTGCGTACGTGTGATTAAGGATGGATCCATCACTGTCTTTTTTTTTTTTTTTTTTTTTTTTTTTTTTTTTTTTTTTTTATCAGATTCCGTCCTCATTTAACTTAAATCAAATTTATATGCATTCTTAACCAATAACTATATACTATAAATTGATTTCACTCGTTAAATTCTTATTAAAAAACTATAAATATAGTCAAAACTGAGATTTGTGTTAATAAAGTGATCATAATAGTGGAAATTCGTTTAAAATAACCACTTATTTCACATCAATGTCAAATTATTTTATTGATTATTGCTTTTTTATTTATTTAAGAACAAATGTCACCAACTTATCCGTTTTTGTTTTTGACGTTTTTCTTATGAACAATGTTATACAGTTGTTGCTTGTGGGTGATGTGGTCAATTGCTTATATGGCAGAACACTATGATATGACACTATTTCACTTTAATTAGGTAACAAATGTTTGTGGAAGGAAATTCAAACAAATACAGAAGAATGGTGACGCATTCTTGGTCTATATTGTTGATGTTATTGTGGTTCAAGCTAGTTTTTTTGGTTATTTTGGAATGATAAAAACCCAAATAGGTATTTTTTTGGTTGCAAACACTTTCCAAATGAGGAAGAAAATTGTGGTTGTTTTGATTGGTATGATAATGAACTTCCCCCTAGTTGTATAAAGAAATTTATTTCTAACGAAGAAGTATAATAAGAAACATGTGTACGATCCTAGTGAAGGTAAATTTCCTAATGAGGATAAAAAATTGCTTCTAATGATAAAGAAGTGGAATGAAAACCCCACACACGTTCCTAGTGAAATGAAATTTTGCTTTCAACAAAGAAGTTGAATGAGATGCCCACATACGGTCTAGTGAAGGTAACTTTCCAACTGAGAATGAAAATTTGTTTTTAACGAAGAAGTTGAATGTGAATCCTACAGATGATCGTAGTAAAGGTATTGTTCCAAATAAGATGACATTTGTTTCTAATGAACACCAAGTTGGATGAGGAACTTGTCGATTGTAACAAGTGGAAAATTTTGATTATTTATTATACTTTATTTAGTGTATAGAGGCCGTTTTGAATATGGCATGTTTGAGCAAAATCGAGAAAACGGAAAAATGAAAGAACGCGACATGTTCTCTAGTTGACGTGAGGTATCGACATGTCCAGGTGATGGACACGTGTTATGAGAATGCGACACATGGCAAAAAAAGAGGTACTTGGAAAAACGCGTGACGAAACATGTTAAGTCCTAGCGCGTCGGCATAGCTGAGTGGCAGGATACATGTCATGTTAGTAGGACATGTGACAGACCCTGGGAGACGTGTGGGTTGCGACGCGACGCATCTTCACTAACACACACACGCACACACGCGCGCGCACACACACACACACACACACACATATATATATATATATATATATATATATATATATATATATATATATATACACAACCACACGCCTAAATTATTTTATTCAAAGTAATTATTGTGTTATTGTATGGATAACTGTGGGCCAATCAATATTACTTATTTTAAGAAAGTGATTAATATATATTATTGAATTAAATGTAATTGAAAAATATCATCTAATTTAATTACAAGGGTATTTTAGTCAATTAATATAGATTTAATAAAGGAAAATTGCATATTTTAAGGGATTATAGATTCTATTAATTTTAAAAATCCGATTTTACGAATTATAACTATTTTAATTCGGACATTTTGACAGAATATGTTTATTTATTTAATTATTTACTCAATAATAAAAATATTCTTGAACCTATTTCTTGATCATGACTTTAAGAACTTCTTGTAGAATAACTAATTTTTGAATAATCAATTGAAGAATAAAAACAAAAAATACATTATTTCTTATAGAATACAAATAACAATTGTTAAGAATTACAACGACTAATACATTCTAATTGAATAATGTGGTCCGTTTCAATTTTGTGGTCCGTTCTTTAAGCATCAACTTCTGTGATTCCAACAGAATTAGAATTCATGATTCCATTCCAACATAATTGGAATACATGATTCCATTCCAATAGAATTGGAATCTCACCAATATCATCAATTGAATCATCTACATAAACATACTTGATACCTTTTCAAAATTCAACCTTGTTAAGATCCTGCACTGTCCACATAAATGAAGTGTTAAATCAGAAAAAAAAAATGAAATATGAATCAGACCATTTGAATCAGTCCATTTGAAAGAAACACAGATGATCTCCATATCACTCAAAACCCCCAAATTCCACTTGAATTGGAATTATAAAGCTGAGTTATCGATTCCTATGACAAACAAAAACGGAAGGAAAAAACCCTAAGTGAAAATTAACTTGAACAGAGCTTCATGTTACTTCATTATATCAAAAATCGAATCTAACCAAGCATCGATTAACTCGAATACGAAGCTCGAAAGAAAAATAATTCAATCAAACAAGTAAAGCAATAAACCTCGTAACCAACAGAGAAACTCGAACTGGACAAAAATGGATCATCGAAAGAGAAACAAACGTTGACTAAAGAGAAGAGAGTAAGCTAACCTGATTGGTAGAAGTTGGTTGATTGCTTTGAACAAAAATCGATGGATCAAAGGAAGTAAGAAGTGTAGATCGGAAGAGGGCTTAGGGTTCGTAATCGGAATCTTTTCGTTGGAAGGATGGTGAATTAGGGGCGATGGTGGGGTATTGGTATTGGAGTACGTTGCCGTTTAAAAAATATATATAAAACCTGGAGAAATTATGGTTAAAAGTCAATACCATGATTATAGAGGTTATTTTTGGAAGTTGTTAATCATATTACTAAATTACCCTTATTTATTTATTAAATTAATTTTTTTTTAAATTTTGATTGCCCACATTTATGCATACGATAACACAATAATTACTTTAAACACCGAACCTCTCTCTCTCTCTCTCTCTCTCTCTCTCTATATATATATATATATATATATATATATATATATATATATATATATATATATATATATATATGGTTCATAAATTTGAAAGGGGCTTTTTGCCGAAAAGGGAAAGAACATTCTAACAACAACTATCAGTATGGATTTACCGTAGATAGTATGAATTTGTAATGTCTGGTTTCTGGTATGAATTTATTTCCAAATTTTTTTTTTTTTGGAGGACTCGTCGAGTTGGAAGCCTCAACTCGACGTGTTAAAGTTGTGTTGGCCACGAAGTTTAATGAGTCAACTCGACGAGTTGAGGTGCCTCAACCCAACGAGTTAGCCGTTAGGAAGGAAACCCTAATTTTAAGGTTTTGCACCCTATTTAAACACCTTAAGTCCCAGGTGTTGGCCTCATTCTCAGCCTCCATAAACCCTAAATTTAATCTTGAAACCATAGAGCCTCCTTGAGTGTTGTGAGCTCATTGTGGGTGTGTTTTGGTGTGTTTGAAGCTCATTGAATGAAGTGAAGCTTGGTGCAAGGTGGTGATTCAAGTAGGAGCTTTCATATCTTGATTCTCTACTCCATTTCCAACACATTTCGGGTATAAAGCTCTAACCTTTCTTAATATTTGCTTAGATCTCTTTTTGGGTTAGTTTGTATGCTTTTAGCCATGTTTGGGTGGTTGATGGGGATGTAGGACGTCCCAAGTGTTATCCTTTTAGATCTATGATCTTCATGAGATCTTTTGGCATAAAAGTGCCAACTTTATGGTCTTAAGGGCTTCATGCATTCATTAAGTCCTTTTTATGACTTCTTTTGAGCATTTGCTCTTCTCCTAGTCATGCATGAGTGTAAAGCTGGAAACTTTACGTAGCCTTTCAGCCTTTAGGGCCAGATCTACAGTTTGGGGTTATGCTTTTGGTGATATAGTGCTTAATGATTAAGTCCTTACCCTTTTAAGCCTAGGATTTGGGTTTTGAATCCATTTTGGTGGTTCTTAAGGGTAAAGTTGGAAACTTTACCCTTCTAGATGCCATTTTAGTTAAGATCTGAAGTGTGAAACTCTTAGTTTCGTTAAGGTCGGCTTAATGAATTAAGATGTTGGGTTTCTAGTGAACTCGGTGAGTTTATGGTTAAACTCGACGAGTTGGATTGGGTTCTTCCTGACTTTGTAGACTAATGGAGAAACTCGGCGAGTTGAATGACAACTCAGTGAGTTGGGTCAACTCGGAACGTTGACTTTGACTTTGACCTTAATCTCTAACAATATTTGACTTGTAAGGGGTTTTTGGGCTTTGTGAGTTGATGGCGTGCCTAGGGAAGCACAACAGAACCGCGTCTAGCCCAAGAGCCGGGCACGCCAACTAAGCTCAGCCCAGCAGGCTCAGCGCCCGCTGGCGTCCCCGGGAGTGAAGCGCATGCGAAACGCTCGCGCCCGCCAAGAGGCGCTCCTGACTCCAGGACAAAAGATACGGTCAGGAGACAAGCAGTAGGATCAGAGCATTATCGTCTGAGCCAATGAGAGCGCTCTAACGATTGAAGGCGCGTGACCCTCCTATCAACGCCTCTGATCCTGTCTCCCCAAAAGCGATTATGTATGGTACGACTCGGGCAGGAGCGCTAGGTATAAAAGGATGTGCTCTCAGACCTACGAGGTAAGTTCTCTAAGCTTTCTGGAGAGAATACACACACAAACCCTAGAATACCCTCTAACTTGACTGT